GATTAAAAAGTTATAAAACATTAAATCATGTAGTCACTGCAATGGCAAAGAAATCATGAATTCTCGGTATAGCTTTTATTGTTAATAGTAGTCTCCAGTACAGTATGAAAGATATATATCATCCTTCCGAGAGACCAGAACTCAGTTAAGACACTAAACCTAGTATTTCTTCAATGATTAGCAAAACATAGGCTGGTTTTTCTAAGTAAAGAGTCAACACCAAAAATCCTAAGTGTTTTCTGTAAGCAACCAAGTGATCTGAACAAACAAGAGATGGTAGCTGTTATTCCCATCCAAAGAAGACTATCAGGACTTTTAGAAAAATTACTAAAATGAGATATTGGTAAAGTCCCTGGCAAAGCTCCTGGAAGAGAAAATAAAGTCTAAATAATTAATAGCTATCATTATCATCACCTGTAGCTAGTTTGATTAGCAAATCATTCTAAAATATCTGGATAATACAAAAACATTATTCCTAAAATAGTGATCCCATGAGTAGGAAGAAAAAAAGAATTAAAGTGATCTGTAATTGCTTACTGCAAATTACAGTGTGAAAGAATTCTCACGTTGGGGGGGGTTTGTTGCAGGAAAAGAAGTTTTCTTTCCTTTACAATGAAAAGAATGAATGTGTTCAAAAAAAAAAAATCCTCTAGACCTAGGTGACATTTGATATACTTTACACAAAACCATTGTCAATTTTATTGTTGTTGCCCACAAGTAAGGGAATCCTTAGCTCCAATCAATGAAGCTAGAGTATCTAGTTGCAACATACCATAGCTTTCTAAATTTCTCAAAACAGAGAACAGATTTTCATAAGTATATTTGAAAAGAGCTTCTATATAAATGTGAGTCTCAGAGAATCCCCTAAGAGGATATGTCTCACACACACATAAATAGACAACCTAAAAAAGGCACTAAGTCTTTTCAAAGAGATGTTAATAGAAAAAAATGTAAATTTATCTTAAATGACTAAAAAGCTAGTATAAAAATCAACATTTGAGATTCTCTGAATATTTATATTTCCTATTCAAACCAGTTAGCTTTACAAATAAGAGAAAATCCAACTAAATTAAAATTTAAATATGACTAAAATTTATCCATGTTATCCAAGAAAAACTAATAAACTTCAAATTCCTGAAGCTAGCACTGGAGACCATCCGTGAGGCAGTATAGCATCACAGCTACACAGATCCCATCCTGAGCCACTGTCCACCCTAGCTGCTTCCTAACTGTCTGACTCTGGCTAAATAGCCTAACCTCCCAGCTTCCCTTTCCCTAAGTGGAGAAAGGAGCTCTCCCATCAGGTTGTGGAAGGATTAACTGAGAGCACATGAGGACTCAGCTCATCTCGTGCCTAACATATATGAAAGCTGATGTATGACTTTTCCATTGGATCTCCCTGTTCTCACCCTCATGCACTCTCCAGCTTTGGCCACAGCCCTCCCGGGTGTTCTCTAGACATGATTATTTTTCCCCCTAGCCCTTACTCAGGGTCTCTCCTTTACCCTTTCCAAGAGGAAGGGTAAATCTTCCTCTTACAGTAGCCATCTTATCACCACACCCACATATCCAAACCCTCTCATTCCTTTCGAGCCCAGCTCGAACTTAAATCCTCTCAAGCCCAACACAAACACTAGCTCCTCCATAAAGCCCTTAATTCCTACAGATCAATGTTTCTCAACCCTGGCTATAACCAATCACCCAGGGAATTAAAAAGAAAAGAAAAATTCCCTGAAGCCTGGGCTTCAACCCTGTGGGCTCTTGGTCTGAGGTGTAGCCACGCAGCGGGGATAGAAGAGAGCTTTCACTGAGACTCCACAATGCTTCACCAGTCCTTTCCTTGCAGTACTGAAACGGAATCTGTGTTTGAGTTACAGCCCTCAAGTATTACAAGAAGAGTGACTTGAACTAACAGGCTGGTCAACCATCTGTTGAAAACACAGATAAAGAAATAAATAAAATTTCAGTGCTCCTGGAATATAGGATTCAAAATCATGGTTTGAAACAAAACCCTATCGATACCTGGATAACTAATCTGCATTTCAATAGCTCAGCTGTTAAGTTCTACTTGACTTACATAACTTAGCCAATGCACACGAGAAGAAATGACTAATTCCAAAAAGGGAGAACACATCACTAAAATAAAGCTGGCTAATCACTTCTGTGGTCTGATAGATAGTCCCTCCCTTCCCACCTCCCACCACTCCAAAACACTCACAGTTCCCTAAATAGATCATGCTCCCTCATGCCACCAAGCTTGGAACATACACTGCAAGCTCTAACTTAGCACATTCCTCATCTGGCTCTTACTACTCATCCCAGAAACACCTTCTAGGACAGAAAACCTTCCCTTAGGTCACAATTCTGGTTGAAAATCCCTCTTCTGTACTCCCCCAGCATTTGGCAATGTTACTCCTATCATAGCGCCTGTCAAAAATAAATTATTCCTTTGTTTATCTAGTCACGTACCAGTTTCTTGGGGGTGGGGGTCTCTCATCACTGTAACTATCATCTTATCTAACGTATGGTATTTACGAAGTGTTCAATAAATACTGAATGAATGAATGAGGGAGGAAAAGGGCTTTAGTTTTTTCACCTACACAAATGAGCAAGTTGATGCCTAAGGTCTCTTCTGGCTCCATATTCTATTACAATGATTGATAAAAACAAATGAAAAATATGCATAATATGTAGATCCATGTATGAAGTACAATAATTTCTAAATAATATCATGAGTTACTTCTTCTATAAGAGATTTACTTTACATATAATTTTGATATATAACCTTAAGGACAGTAAACTGCTGTTATACGGCTTCTTTAGATTAGAGAAATTTTTCTTCACAAAGCACTAAGTGCTCATTGACAACCCTAAGTTTAATATAATTTTACATAGGTAAAGAACTATAGATAGTTGATAATTACTATGTATCAGTGAATACTAAAGAAATTTTTATATTTTGAGGCCTAAGTGATATCCCCTAGTTTAATTACCTAAGAAAAATCTCACCCCAGATTAGAATGAATATTAAAAGACATATGAGTAAGGTCTAGTCTCAACTTCTGGCCCAATTCTACTCACAGTCTCAAACAGAATTGTTATTTAAAAAATAAACAAACAAAAAAACACAAAAAACTCATCTCTGCAATGAAGATGTGCAAAAATGGAGAATTAGCTTTGGAATATGATTATTTTTTATTAGTCTTTCAAAGAAACGATATCCAACACATTGGTAAATCATTTCGAATAAAATAATAAGGTATTTTGGTGAAGATTTAGCTTCAAATTACTAGGAAGCTACCACTTTCCTAACTTCAACTATTGCCTGACTAACACTATTTAAATTTTACATATTTATCTGGATTACAACATTTTATTTGATTACAACAAAGTTTTGTCATTTATATAAATCAACTATATACATTAATGATTAAATTCCTTGATAATAAGGCATAAAAAGTACATATAGTAATTATTCCAACTTCACTTTCAAGATAAAAACAAAATAAAATAATGTATTCTGTTTTTAAAAAAGTCAAAATAATTCTTATGTTTTTCCTTCTCACTCTGATAGATTTAACAGCTTTCTCTATCAGTAACTTGCATTAACGTAGTACCTTTCCCAAGTGCCTTGTATCATTTTATATCATCAGCATTCAACAGGGTATCACATTAAGAAAAAATAGCTCTGGATCTTACTCTATAACAATGTGCAATTCCCTTGGGCTGGGATCCTTCAGGAAATGCCAAAAAACTCAAAATATTAAAAGCGCTTTCAATACATCTAAGGCTAGACTTGCCCAATGACCTGACCACCTCAAAAGTGACAGATCTGCTACCCTGCAAAAATGTCTATTTTGAAACTCACAGATGTATGAGACCTTAAAGAAATCAGACAGGGGGCTTAAAGGGATTTCAATAAAAGTATTTTCTCTTCAATGCCTTTTTAAAAATGCCATTGCATCATGACTAGTAAGTATATTTGGATGCAGACACCAGGTTGCAATTATACTAAAGAACAGTAAGGCCAGGTGCAGTGGCTCACGCCTGTAATCCTAGCACTCTGGGAGGCCGAGGTGGGATAATTGCTTGAAGTCAGGAGTTCAAGAGCAGCCTCAGCAAGAGTGAGACCCCGTCTCTACTAAAAAAATAGAAAGAAATTAGCCGGACAACTAAAAATAGAAAAAAATTAGCCTGGCATGGTCATGCAGGCCTGTAGTACCAGCTACTTGGGAGGCTGAGGCAGGAGGATCGCGTGAGCCCAGAAGTTTGAGGTTGCTGTGAGCTAGGCTGACGCCATGGCACTTTAGCCCCGGCAACAGAGTCACAGGCTGTCTCAAAAAAAAAAAAAAAGGACAGTAAGGACACAGAAGTGTTTTCTGCCCTTAAAGTTTCTGAAAATACGAAGTTGCTTCGATATACAGCAAGCGTTGTTTCAAAACCAGATAAACTAAAACAAACGAGAACACAAGTGTGACCCAATGTCTGGGAGAAAGACAGATGTTAATGCAAGCTTGTTTTTTATGTATAAAGTTACTCCTTACTGTGTTTGGGGAAGAAAAGTGTGACTCTTCCTAACGATTATATAAAGCAAGACTTCAAAAATAAGAGAAGTGCTTTGCAAACACAGCAACTAGAACTGGCTGAAGCTTCCCTGCGCCCAGTCCCACGCTCAAGGATCAGAACGAACTTTATCCACCAATTTAACAAAGGTGATTCAGAAAAGTTGAAGTCTTCTGAGGAAAGTCACGACAAAAAAACTTGTTCAGTTTCATGCAGCATACCTAAAGCCCTAAGGGTCCCCAATGAATCACCAACGTCTACAGCCCAGGCTGCTCCGCCTTTTTTACGCATTTATTAGATTACAAAACCATGTGTATTTTTTACTTCAAAGCAAAAACATCCAGAAAAGGGAAAAAATCCATGGCCTGTGCAAACTCCCTACCTACCACCCAGCCACCCACGTCGCACCCCTATGCTGCAGCGAAGCTGGCACTCACCCACCGCTCGCCAGGTACCTAGACCCGGGGTGTTTCACAGTCAGAAGTGAGGCAGGCAGGCTCGCTCGGTCCTACCGGCAGGGACACTACACCCCCACCTCAGAAGTACCCGTACGGGCTGGGCGCTGCCATTTTGACAGAAAGTAGGCCCCTCTCTCGGAGGCCCCTAAGCCGGTCGCCCTGAGCGGAGCCGGAACGCCAGGGAGACCCTGACCCGTCACCCCCACGTCCCTCAAGCTGCGTCCCCCAGCCTGGCAAAAGCCGCGAAACCCGGTCCCGCAGACTGGGCCCGCCGAAGTCAAGTCACCCCCGAATTCCCACACAGCCGCTCAGGCAGCGCCAAGGGCGGCCGCAGCCGCGAGGGCGGGGCTTCGGAGCGGCGCGCGTTCGGTAACCCAGGCAACGCGGCCTCGGCCTCGCGGAGGTATGACCGGGCGCTGCGCCCGAGGGAGCAAATGTCTCCACCACGACCCCGAGCGGTTCGCTGAGGCAGTCCGTGGCGGGGCTGCACGCCCTCAGTGCTTGGTCTCCGACGAGGAACGTGCCTCGATGCGGAGGCGGCCGGCACCGTCACTCCCCCGCCTTCGCGCCGCGCGGAGCGGCTGCTGCGCCCGGACCCTCCCTCTGCGCACCGCCCCCTTAGTTGCCCGCAGCCCTGCCTGCGCCCGCCTCCAAAGCGGTGCTCACTGCAGTCCGCAGAGGTTCTCTAGGCCGAGGCCCGGCCCGCTAGCAAGGCCGAGCCGCTGCGTTTTATTTCGTTCGTGATTTTTGCATCAGCTGAAGTTTTGTGAGTTGGGTTAAACTCGGGACCTCCGCGAAGAGGACCCTTCTTTTTTTTTTCTTTCCAAAATGGCAGCCTCCAGCCGCGCACAAGTGTTAGATCTGTACCGGGCGATGCTGAGAGAGAGCAAGCATTTCAGCGCCTACAACTACAGGTGACTCGGCGGGTGGTGGGGGACCTGGAGGGCCTGGGGCGCCAGCTTCCCCAGAATGTCCCCTGGGGGATGGGGAGCCACCGTTCTGCGATGGCAGCTTCGGGACTGTAACCCGGGCTTCTCCACAAAAAAGCGTGCACTTGCCCACAGGTGTAGCCCTCTGAAACCTCAGGGGGAGAAGCAAAGGGCTTTGCCCTTCATCGTGTCGGGGAAGGTGTTCAAATCTTGTGACGTTTTCTCCCAATATGGATACTTTGGTTCGTGCTCTGGGAGCATGATTAGTGTCATGTTTCCGCGGTGAAAAAGGATGCACGTGAAATCTGCAATTGGTGAAGTTAGAGCCAGTGCCTTGCATGTATAAAAACTTCTCTTGAGAATTGGAAGACTTGCGAGTGGAAGTGTCGGGTCGGTAGCACATGGCCACAAAGCTGAAGGCTCGCTCTAGGTCTTCCTTTCATTTCTTAGGTGTCTTAATTATTATAGTTCTTTCGGTTGCAAGAATCAAATCCATTTTTTTAGGGAATGGGGTGGGGGGCTGGATACACAAGTAACAGTAAAGGAAAAAGGGTCTGGCAAGATTCCAGGAGCTGAGACGTTAGTTTTATCCTGGCTCACCGGACAGGGATCCCGCTTATGGGACCTTAATAGTAGGACGGTGAGAATCTGAACCCTAACATCTTTGATATTGCACATTCACTTTTAACATGATGGCCTCATTGCACTATTTGCTTTTGAGTCCCCTGTTCTTTTTCTATATCTTTTCTCTACTTTAGAGTCTCTGCTTTCACATAGTTTCTATTTCCTAATAATTTTTTCTTTTTTTTTTTTTTTTCTTGAAACAGAGTCTCACTCTGTTGCCCCGGCTAGAGTGCCATGGCATCAGCCTAGCTCACAGCAACCTCAGACTCCTGGGCTCACGCGATCCTCCTGCCTCAGCCTCCCAAGTAGCTGGTACTACAGGCCTGCATGACCATGCCAGGCTAATTTTTTTTCTATTTTTAGTTGTCCGGCTAATTTCTTTCTACTTTTTTAGTAGAGATGGGGTCTCACTCTTGCTGAGGCTGCTCTTGAACTCCTGACCTCAAGCAATCCTCCCACCTCGGCCTCCCAGAGTGCTAGGATTACAGGTGTGAGACACCACACCCAGCCTGCTTCCTTATAATTTCTGACCCATCATTAATTATTGTATCTTATAGATTCTCTCTGCATTCTTTCAGATTTGATGTCTTAACTAACTACCCAATCCTCTCTGAGTTTGAGCTATATTCCCAACAGCAAGAATCTGATTGAAACAGCTCATCTCTTTACACCAGACCTTTCTTTAGGGGACTGGCCAGCCAATGGACTGGGTGTCATAGGAGCAGAGCCTAACCTTGGAACAGACCTGGTTAGGTAGGCTCCCCGCCACTGGGTTGTCTGAGCTGCCAGGCCTTGTGATGGGTAGCCCCAGTGAAAGGACAGGAATGCTAGCCTCTCAAGCAAGGACTGTCAGGTTTTTAGATACCTGCCTAGAAAATGTACTACTCATCTTCTAAATTTGAAAACAGCGTCTAGGTTATACCTGTAAAGTCATATTCACACAGACAAGAAACATTTCAAAGGAGGGCCGAATTTTACTTAATGATTTTGGCTTTGCAGGGTAAAGGGTGTAAATGCTAGGCATACTGGTGGAATTTTTAACAAAAATTACCCAAACATCTAGCACCAAGTACATAACCAAGTCTGAAAATATGGAAGTAATTAAGTAGAAACCTGTCAGTTTACATTTGTTCAGAATAAACAAGGCCAGGGAATCAGCATGCAATTCACACTGTGAAGAAACAGCAGCAGGGAAAGGGTATATTTGAGAGCACATTGTACAAAAGTCAAGTAAGAGCCCACAGAGACTAGATAAACTTGGACAAGTCACTCAATCTGTGTATTTCAGTTTTCTTGTTTGTAAATTTAGACTGTGAACTAGACAATCTCTAAGGACCCTTCTATTTCTAAAATTCC